GAATTTTGAAAGTACTTCCAGCTGAATTTAAGAAATAATATAAATAAAACTCTCTTTTTCACAAGCTCTAAGAGTGACATATTGCCACACAAACAAACACTAAGGCGACACAAATTATGTTTGGTTTCATAGATATTATCAACTTAAAGCTTTTTTTTTTTAAACAATTGGTTAGAATATTTGACAACATCAATCTATTAAAAACTATTCGACATAATAATTGAAAATTTACTATTAATTATTATTAATAATAATCTGATCATCTTTTTTTGTTAGTTATCAACTATCAATAACCAACTATAAAAATAATATTAATACAATTTGTGTGGCCTTAACATGTGTCCATTTAGCAATAACCTTGCCCGTTCTAACAAACTACTAAGAAGATGTTGACTTTAAACATGGTATAACATAATAATAATAATAATAATAATAATAAAGAAACATGGTACAACATATACCAAAAAAAAAACATAGCAGGGCAACTGCTAAGTCAACTCAGAGATCGCATGTTCTATCTTTCTTCAACTCCACCAAAGGAATTGTAGGGACAGAGAACAAAAGGGGTGATGATCGGTTTACCTGGGAAATTTGACCTTTGGAGACGAAACGTTGAATGGAGGCGGAGATGGATTTGGTGGCTCTGGAGAGCGCTGCCAAAACCGTATCGATAAGGTGGACGTCGAGGCCGTACATGGCGGCGAGCTGGGGGATGCTGGAACCCATCTGCCCACCTCCCACCTCCCACCACGCCTACGCTCTTAAGCTCCCTTGGTCTTCCTTCTCTCGGAATATCACATAAACCGATCGAACTGTGAGGGCTCAACCAACCGCAAGGGTTTGCTGCAAATAATCCATTTCAACGACAAGGTTTTGCTGCGTTCAACAATCAACAATGGCTGAAGAGAGGATTCAATCAAATTGAAGGACTTGATTTTCATGAGACCTTTGCCCCTATTGTTAAAATGGTCATTGTGAGAACATTACTTGCTCTTGCTTTGATTAAGCGTTGGGAACTACATCAATTAGATGTCAATAATGCCTTCTTGCAAGGTGAGTTACATGAAGAGGTATTTATGAAAATACCACAAGGTTTTACTTTTAACCAAAGCAACAAAGTTTGTAGGTTGCAAAAATCACTTTATGAACTATGACAAGCATCTAGGAATTTGTTTGAAAAGTTTACAACCTCTTTTGAAGTAGTTGGGTTTAAGCAATCAAAGGCAAATTATTCCTTATTCATATTGCCCATTGATGATAGTTTTGTTGCAATATTGATTTATGTTGATGATATCGTAATCATCGGCAATGATGGAGCAAGAATTGCAACCTTAAAGCATTATCTTCATTTTGCATTTTCTATAAAGCATTTGGGTCTCTTGAAATATTTTCTTGGAATTGAGGTAGTTAGAACAACAGAAGGGATGGTTCTAAGTCGACAAAAGTATGCTTTCAACATACTCACGAAATCAGGCATGCTTAGGGCAAAGCTAAGCCCCTTCCCCATGGAGCAGCATCATTGTCTTGGGCTTGCATCTAGTTCACCTATACTAGATTCTTCACAATATAGGAGGCTTATCGGTCATCTACTTTATTTGACAATAACATGACTAGATATGTGTTATTTTGTTGGAATCTGGGCACAATTCATGGAGGAACCCAAACAGGAACATTTTGATGTAGCAATGAAAGCGTTTTGTTATGTTTAGACCTCACTAAGACAAGGGATATTGCTCTTCTCTTCTAGTCCTCTACATTTTATTGCTTATTGTGATGCAAATTGGGTCGGGTGCCCACAAACACAATGATCAACAATAGGGTACTATATTTGTCTCGGACACTCCTCTATTTCATGGAAGTTAAAAAAGCAATCAATTGTCTCTTACTCTTCAGTTGAAGCTAAATGAGGGCCATTGCATCAACTGTTAGTGAGCTCACTTGATTAAAGTCCTTACTTTCTAATCTTAGGATATATCACTTGAAGTCAATGACATTGTTATGTGATAACCAAGCTGCCTTACACATTGCCAATAATCCTGTGTTTCATAAGCACACAAAACATATGGAGATAAATTGCTATTTTGTTCATGAACGCATTCAAAGGAAGGAGTTGCTCATGTCTCATGTGCCTTCTCATTATCAACTAGTAGAATTGTTTGCAAAGGCATTAGGCAAGGAACAACTTCATTTCCTATTATGCAAGTTGGGCATTAG